GATGTCTTTATGTACAACCCTCGAATACCGTCATGTAAAGGTAAACATTTTGACTCTACAATGTACTGTTTGAATATTATTAATATTATTATTATTACTATAAAGGATTTATACAGAGCACCAACAGTTTGTGTGCAGTACAGTACAGTTTGTGTTTTACAATATAAGGAAGACATTACAGTTACAATACTAATCAAGACACAGAGCTTACCATCCACAGTCATCATGACCCATCTAGGGGCTCATGCACACAGCCGCGCTTCTATCAGTCTAGCGTTTTCACTTTGACAGATCTGTTGTTCTCTATAGACCCATGCACACACTGAGTAGAGATCAGTAAACTTGGACTGCTGATCCGTAAAGTCGAAACAGAAAAATCTGTGCCTGAGGTCAGCGGCTTGTCCGTGTACACCTATAAATGTGTGTGAATGCATGTACATACATACACATGTACCCATTCATGTTCCCATGTTCATTTCATAGAATGGAAGTAGAATTCCACATGCCCCATGGGCACAAATTGTTATGATGAAGGATTTCTATAGTGCCAACAGCACTTTACAATGTACAGACGTATGGGCATGCAGCATGAAATACGCCTGGGTTTGTGGTGCCTGGGGGTCCCAGCTGCTGCGTTTGTGTGTCTATAGGACTGTATGGCAATAATACGCTGCACATGGGTAAACGCAAATAATGTTCCCAAACCTGTACAGCATATTGGTGGGATTTATCAAAACTGGAGCGGTTCTCCACAGTAACCAATCAGCTTCTCTATTCAGTTCTGCTCCACTTTTGATCAATTCTTCTCATTGTGTCCAAACACTATGTCGCCCAGAAGAAGGGACCCTGCGTGGCCCCAAAACGTTGGCTGTATGACGCATGTGACAATTTAATAAAAAGTGCTTTACTTCTTGCACGTATCATCGAGTGCTGGTGACTTCTATTATGGCCTGTATCCGTGTTGTCACTTCAAGCACAAACCTTCCATTAAAGTCTGTATGCTGTATGGAGTGCAGGTGATTTTGTGTTATCCATATAATCCTACAGACACAAGAACTCTCCTGGACATCACAAATACAGGTGTACTTTATGCTATATGGCCATACGCCTGTATCTGCGTCCAGCCCTTAACGCCGAACGCATTCATTACAAATCCACACGCATGTAAACGCAAGCGCTCCCCTGAGTAGATGATCCGTATTTCATTACGCCCATGTCCATGAGCCCTATTATTCATACAGGGGTTAGGTTGGACTAGTTTCTAATACAACCTGGATTAGTGAACACTGTGTAGAAGTGAGTGTTGGCAGCATTGTCACACACACAGCCCAGTGAGCCATTACTGTCAGGCTAGTGGAAGTGTGTAATCTGTAGTACAGAAGCCCATCACGGCTCAGGACAGCTTCCAGCAGCAGTGCTGCGCCTGTCCCCAGCAACCCAGAGACAACATGAGCACATGGTAACAGGACACCGTGCACACACATAGACAACACACAGCCATGTCCTCTCTGCACCTAAAACTTTCCTCCGTGCTCTGCCCCCTTGCCCTCATCACCTACCTGGAAGCAGAGAAGAGAAGGGCGACCCCCGGGTGAGCTGTCAGTAGGGAAGGAGGACTTGTTGCTGGTTGGGTGTTGTTATCCTCCCGGTGATCTCAAGGGACTGCGTCCCATCCCCCCGCCCCTTGGCAGCAGCTGCCAGCCCTGTGTGTGAGAGCAGCTTAGTCTCCCGAGCCCTCCCCTCCAGGCTGACAGGCAGAACAGCAATGCCTCCAATGTAGGTGCACACACAGGAAGCCTGGCACACACAGCTCGGTGCTACAAGTCATTGCATATCAATTACAGCTACCACTTACTCCAGGTGACAGGGAGCACAGCAATGCCTCCAATGTAGGTGCACACAGGAAGCCTGGCACACACAGCTCGGTGCTACAAGTCATTGCATATCAATTACAGCTACCACTTACTCCAGGTGACAGGGAGCACAGCAATGCCTCCAATGTAGGTGCACACAGGAAGCCTGGCACACACAGCTCGGTGCTACAAGTCATTGCATATCAATTACAGCTACCACTTACTCCAGGTGACAGGGAGCACAGCAATGCCTCCAATGTAGGTGCACACAGGAAGCCTGGCACACACAGCTCGGTGCTACAAGTCATTGCATATCAATTACAGCTACCACTTACTCCAGGTGACAGGGAGCACAGCAATGCCTCCAATGTAGGTGCGCACAGGAAGCCCGGCACACACAGCTCGGTGATACAAGTCATTTCATATCAATTACAGCTACCGCTTACTCCAGGTGACAGGTGGAGGCTCCAGCAAACAGTGGGAATTACCAAAACTGGAGCTAACACATTCCAGAGCAGTTACCCAGGGCAACCAATCAGCTTCTCTCTTCAGTTTGTTCAGTTAAAGGATAATTAAAGCCTCCAATTTTTTGCATAAATCTACTGCTAGCAAGCAGTAGATCTATGGAAAAAGTTTTTTTTTTAAAGAAACCGCTTTAAGTGCCCATTCACACTGGGTGTTTAATCGCGCGATTTCTGCCGCGATATTGCGCAAATTTGTTGCGCAATATCGCGAGAAGTCGCCATTTAATGATGTTCAATGGAGCTGTTCTATTGTACTGCTCCATGTCGCGTGTCGCTTTTGCAGGACCCTTTTTCCCGCGATTTTTCTTTCTTTTGCATGCAGCCCGACGGTGAAGGTCGCGCGATCGTCGCTGGAACGTCGCCCGAACAGTCACGCTATCCCGGCCGCACGGAAATCCGCCGAGGTAAGTGTCACTCAGTGTGAATGGGGCCTAACAGAGGTTAATACTCCCCTGTGTCTTCCCTGCGCGCTCCCGTCCGAAAATATGAAGATCCTCGGGCGGCCGCAGAGCATCTTGGGGCGGGCGCATACGCAGTTCACATTTTCGGCCAGGACGCGAGGAGAGACACAAGGTAAGTCTATGGACGCGTGCACCCGCATGCAGACACCATGGGATAGGAAGTGCCAGCAAGCTCAGAGGAGTCAGCGCTGGATCGGAGACCCGCCGCAGCGCTGGAGGGACAGAGGAAAACAACAGGAAAGAAGAAGATCGGATTAAGAGGCACCATTTAAGGTAAGTGCTGACATTAACATTGGGGTGAGGGAAAATTTTACTTTAATGTCACTGTAAGCTTTGAAAATGAGAGAAGCTGATTGGTTGCCCTGGGTAACTGCTCCAGATTTTGTCTGCTCCAGTTTTGTTCAATTGCCCCTTGTAGTGTTTGTCAGCCTCCACTTGCTCCCTGGTCGGCTCCAGTTTTGAGAAATTCCCTTCTGAGAAATGATAATCTGCTCAAACTCTGAACTTGCGAGCGACATCTACACTCAGCTTGTTTAGTGCTGTAAAGAGCAGTGGTGATGTACAAAGACAACACACATGCAAAGAGACCTTCAAGTCTATCACTGGGTTTAACAAAAGATAGAAGAAGCTCCAATTGCAGTGGGTCTACCCCTGCGCTTCAAGGATTAACTGCTCGTTTATGTCTAGGGCAGGGGTGGGCAACTCCGGCCTTCCAGCTGTCGTGGAACTACAAATCCCATGAGGAATTGCAAGACTGACAGTTACGGGTATGACTCCCAGAGGCTTTGTAGTTAAAGCACAGCTGAAGGGCCGGAGATGCCCACCCCTGGGTGTATTAAGACAACACACATGCAAAGAGACCTTCCAGCCTAAAACAACTCCTTTGCAGAAGCTCCACCCACTACTCTTTATAAAACCCCAAATTTCAGTAAAATGAAGATCATTTTAGTGCACAAAAACACAATATAATACCTACTTGTTTGTTAAATATAAATGATGAGGTTGTGCTGAGTAAATAGATACTCAACATGCTGGGGTTAAAAATTGCGCACCTGTGAAAACCTGCAACAAAATTTGGTACCCAATTTGTCCATAAGCGACCCTTTTAAAGCCCGTACAATTCATTTAGATAGGCCCTTGAATATTGGCCCTAGAATTATTGCTCTCACTGTGGCGCACACGGCGATGACTAACATGTGTAGCGCAATTTTTGTTTTCATACGTAGGCACACCTGAAGCGTGTTTACTTTAGTTTGTGTGGGTTATCGGGAGACTGTTAAAAAATGTTTTGGTATTTTTACATTTATTTTATTTAACTTTATTAAATAAACCATGGAAATTCATAATACTGTGTGAAAATTTAAAGGCACCCCTGGAAAAGGCACAAGGCACCCCAAAGTCCTACAGCACCCAGGTGGCAAAAGGTACTAGGATATCAAAACTGAGCTTCCAGTGTTCCTCTCCTAATATACTGTGGGGGGAATTTATCAAAACCGGAGCAGACAAAATCTGGAGCAGATTTGCACTGCAACCAATCAGCTTCTCTGTCTCATTTTCAAATCTTACCTGCGCAAACTGAAGAGAGATGCTGAATGGTTGCCATGGGCAACTGCTCCAGATTCTGTCTGCTCCAGTTTTGATAAATTCCCCCCTGTATATATTTCCAGAATTTTTTTTCAAACAAGGAACTGTGGCTATATGCAGACGCTTACTATTTTATTATCAGGATTCAACTTCTTTTTCCATATTGATATCTGATTACACCAGTGCTTTAGGTCATATTTAAAGATTAATAAGAACATCTGTACAAATGTGTAGCTTCAAAGAAGACAATTGGAGACTATGGCACCAGTCCGGAATTAATAGCATATGGCTAGAATTATGTTACAGAGCAGACAGAAACAGGTGTGATATCTGCATTGCATTCATTGCCCATTCAATTCCCTCTTTGAATTATGTAAAAGTGTAATGGAGACATAAACAGGAGATATTGTACATAAAATGTACAGATTAGTTTGGCATCAGGCAGCCATTCAGGCAATCACAAATTCAGCTTTATGGTGGTCTTTTCATCTTAAATACATGGAAAATGAGGTCAGACCGTCAGGGCATGGTAAAAACAACAGTATAATAACTTTGTAACGTTTATCTGACATTGGGCTCAGCTTGACATACAAACTGGTACCTCTTTGAAGATCAACTCCAGGCAGATGTAGTCCCCTTTCACACGGGCAGTGTCCGTTTCTATCAGCATGGGATCAATGAACAGGAATTTTGAAATATTAACTCATGTTGATAATTATTTACATCAAGACAATGTCTTTTACATGCTTCTCTAAAGAAACATTATACAAAACAATACATTTCCTTTAAATAAGATACTGTATATTATTAACCCATAAAATGTTATTTGATTACAGCACAAGGAAGTACCACCTGAACCTTTCAGAAGTCTTCTCTATGATCTAGGGTTTGCAAGATGCCCTCAAGGCCAGTCAAGTGCACATCATTGAGGGTAACACAATGAATGAAATCAACCTCTGCTCATTCACACATCTGTATTGGTGGGTGTTAGAATACACATTACTGTGTTTATAGCAACAACTTCTGCAGTATACAATTTCAGTCACTAGATGGCAGTGTTTATAAGTTCTGTTATACAGTAGCTATGGTATTTGCTCTTTTATATTGAATAAGGTAGAGAATAAAACTGTGGCGTCCTTCCTGTTTTAGCCAAGCCATGTGTAACATGCATTTTAGACTGTATGCTTGTGTTTCCCTGTGAGGCTGTGCAAGAAGTTCCAACTGTGGGACCCTCTGCAAATGTTCTTTTTTTTTTTATGTGAAAGCTTGGTGAATGGGGATGAGTGTGGAAGATGGGCCATTGGCTCAATTAGGGCTAGTTCACACCAGCCACAGTGCATTCCAGCCCAATCGTGGCTGGAATGCACTGAATCGTGTTCCAGCCGGCTCACTTTGTTTTGGGGTGGGAGGGGGCGTGGCGGTGCATTGAAGTCAATGGCACCGCAGCCACACCCTCCGTCCGCAATGCGATCGCCCGCACCAGAACGCGTGGTACATAAGTGCCTGCATTCAGGTCCGCTGCAGCCAGAAAAAATGCTGCAAGCAATCGGGCCGGAATGCACTGTGGCTGGTGTGAACTAGCCTTAAACAAAAAAAAGAGAGATTGCTGCATTTATTGTGGTAGTAAGTTGCTGATATTTACTATCTAAATCTTGCCAACTTAACCTCTGCAACATTTCCAAGATTTGCCCCTTCTTACCAAATGACACCACAAAACTTCTAATATGCTCCCTTGTTATCTCTCGTCTCAGCGACTGCAGCTCCCTCCTCGTTGGCCTACACAGGGCTAACCCCGCTTCAGTCTATCATGAATGCTGCTGCCAGACTCATCCACCTTACCAACCTTTCAGTGTCCACTGCCCCTCTCTGCCAGCCCCTCTACGAGCTCCCACTGGCCCAACAGATAAAATAAAAAATACTAACAATAACATACAAAGCCATCTACAACTCCGACCCCAACTACATCGCAATCCTCATCTCAAAATATCACCCAAACCGTCCTCTCAAGACCTCCTGCTCTTTAGCTCCTTTGTCACCTCCTCCTATGCTCGCCTCCAGGACTTCTCCAGAGCCTCTCCCATCCACTGGAACTCAATACCCCGAATTTTCCCTTGGCTTAGTGAATGAGGTGAAGCTCTGCTGACCTCCATCATCCAATCATATGCAAGGAAAATAAGAGGAAAATGTGCATTGCAACCAATCAGCTTCTCTCTTCAGTTTGTAGAGTTAAGATTTGAAAATGAAAGAGAGAAGCTGATTGGTTGCCATGCA